TTTTTTTTTGAGACAGAATCTCACTTTGTCACCCTGGGTAGAGTGCTGTGGAGAGCAATCTCAAACTGTTGGGCTTGAACAACTCTCTGCCTCACCTTCCCTGTGAATAGCTGGGCCTACAGGCATTAGCATGAGAAATAAAACTGAGATGACAAACTTTTTCATGAAAGGGGAAAGTAGATGATGTAAAGGAAACACACGTACACACATGCATACACATACAGACACATACGTGCATATGCTTACACATATACACATGCATACACATACACACACATGCGCGCACTCAGGAGGTGAAAACATCTGGGTGTTCAGCTCTGAGCTGTACAAAAACTGTCACTCCTGGTACATTTAGTACGCCTGACTTTTTTTTTTTTTTTGCAGTTATTATTGATGGGAGAAACACAAAGATGGTGCTGCTAAGCATGAGTGTTTGCATAGTGACAGCTAGTTTCCAAGTATGTGGAAATACATCTGTCCATTTGCTGACCACTCACGCTTGATCAGATGTACTAATAGCGGGAAAGCTCTCCGAGAGTTTCTCTCCCAGGCAGCTGATTTTTCACAGTGAGTCCCCATAGCCACAAGTCTCCCCAGAAAGGAGTTCATGGTAAAAAATCCAGGTAACCTCTAGAGTCTAATAGAGGAGGTGACTGGGCACACAATGGCAGTCACAGCCTAAGTAAGGAGACTATTATTCACAGTAATATGACTTTAAATAATAAGATTTAAATAATGAAATGATTTACAGAGTATGGGCAGCCACAATGCTGTGAATTTTTTTTTTTTTTTTTTTACATTTTTTGGCCAGGGGTGGGTTTGAACCTGCCACCTCCAGCATATGGGGCCAGCGCCCTACCCTTTTGAGCCACAGGTGCCTCCCAACACTGTGAATTTTATATTCATTGTTGCAATTCATATCCATAAGAAGCCTTGCAGGGGGATTTTAATTGTACCTAAACTGATACAGACAGTACAGAAATGAATGGTTATGACTGTGTTCCAATAAAACTTTATTTACAACATAGGCAAAGGGCCTTAGGTTGCAACTCCTGTAAGCCTACAAACTGAGGCTCTGGGTTACCCAGCAGCTGCCCCAAAGGACTGGGGGACTAACCTGGAACTTCAGGGCAGTTACACCCCATGGGGCAGGCAAACTGAACCCAGTGGGAGAGCAGAAATGGAAAGCCACTGGTCAACAAATTGCTTAACCTTCCTTGTGAGTCTGAGGAATGGTGCCATAGGGCCCTGAGCAATGAGCCTGGCTTCTTGGGGATCTTGTGGCCAGTTCAGAAACACACTCTACTCAATGTGCTTTCTTCCTCCACCGACTCACTTCCCTTTTGTCTTCAGTCCTATAGTCCTGGAATCTAACCCCAATAAAGCTTTGTCACAATGGCCGTAGGGTCTGTGTGAAAGGGCCCAGGCTCAGACAGCTGTCCTCCTGACAAAGGAGTTCAGCTGCTTGAGCCACAGATCTCCCTCGGAACCATCTGAGGACCAGCAGCATCTTTGCCTTTCAATTCAGTTCAATTTGACAGAAACTTACTGGGTGCTACGTATATGCAAGTTGCTTGAGCAATAATCAAGAGACAATCTGTGTGTAGTAAAGAAAGGGAATGTTACTAGACTTCAATAAAGAACACAGAAAGAGCAAAGGGGCGCTGCCAGTCCCAAATAAACTATAGCTATCAGAAAAGTGAAGGAGGTGGGAAAAGATAGGGAATGAGCACGGTTTAAAATTAAATTGTGCTTTTAGAAAACAGGGAGACATTTGAAATGACATCAGGCCAGAGAGCAGTACTGGTCCAGTTTGAGCACTGACTTGCAGACCTTTTAAAAGGGTGGATCCTGGGTGGCGCCTGTGGCTCAGGAGTTGGAAGTTGCTGTGAGCTGCGTGAGCGGCACTCTACTGAGAGCGATAAAGGGAGACTCTGTCTCGGGGTGGGGCGGGGCGGGGCGGGGAAGAAAGTGAAAAAAGGGTGGATCCTGTCTAGGGTGAGGCCTAAGACTCTGCATTTTAACCACTTCCCAGGAGAATGATGACTGTGGTCTGTGGCTCCTACTTGGACTAGCAGATCTCAAGGGCTTGTGTGTCACCCTGAAAGACAAACACCACCTCCAGATCAGATCTGAACTTGGGGAGAGCTTGGTTTAAAACAGATACACAGGCCAGTGAGGTGGCTCACGCCTGTAATCCTAGAACTCTGGAATGCCGAACAGAGAGGATCTCTTGAGCTCAGGAGTTTTAGACCAGCATGAACAAGAGTGAGAGCTCACTTCTACTAAAAATACAAAACAGTTAGCTGGGCTTTGTGACAGGTGCCTGTAGTCCCAGCTACTTGGGAAGCTGAGACAAGAGGATCACTTGAACCCAGAGGTTTGAGGTTGCTGTGAGCTACCATGACACAGCACTCTACCCAGGGTGAGAGAGTGAGACTGTCTCAAAACAAACAAATAGGTGCAGAAAAATTGATTACCACCAACTAAGCCAAGGAAATTCCCTATGCAAAGGGTGAGTCAGGGAC